CCAAAAGAAATGGTAAAAGACAATAGGGAAAGCAAAAAAAGACTTTGAGGAACTTATGGCCAGCAATATAAAAGGGAATAATAAAAGCTTCTTTAAATATGTTAAAAGCAGGAAATCTGCCAGAGAAGCAGCTGGCCTTCTGGATGGTGAGGCAGGTAAAGGAGAGATAAAGATGGACCTGGAGATTTCAGAGAAATTCAATGAGTTATTTGCATCTGCCTTAAGGACAGAAGACTTTGGGCATATTCCACTGCCCGAATGGCCTCTCCTGACTAATGAATTAAATCAGATACAGGTTAAAAGAGAGGATGTTTTAGACCTAATTGATTAATTGAAGATCAATCAGTCATTGGGCCCAGATGGCATCTACCCAAGGGTTATTAAGGAACTAAGGAATGAAGTTGCTGATCTTTTGACTAAAATATACAACTTGTGCCTTAAAACAGCCACAGTGCCAGAGGACTGTAGAATAGCACATGTCACACCAATCTTTAAAAAAGGAAGGAGGGGCAACCTGGGAAACTACAAGCCAGTTAGCCTAACGTCTGTTCCGGGGAAGATGGTGGAAAGCTTCATCAAAGATACAGTCTTAAAACACATAGAAGAACAAGCCTTGCTAAGGGAAAATCACTGTGGCTTTTTAAAATGTATGTCTTGCGTTTTTGAATTTTTTGAAATGGTCAAGAGGCATGTGGATGCAGGCGAACCAGTGGATATTGTCTATCTGGATTTTCAGAAGGCGTTTGGCGTGGTCCCTCACCAAAGGCTGCGGAGAAAACTCCAGAGTCAGGGGAGGTCCTCTTATGGATTGAGAATTGGTTGAGAACCAGGAAGCAGAGAGTAGGTGTCAGCGGGCAGTTTTCACAATGGAGAGAGGTGAAGAGTGATGTGCCCCAGGGTTCTGTCCTTGGACCAGTGCTTTTCAAAGTGTTCATAAATGACCTGGAGACAGGCATAAGCAGTGAGGTGGTGAAGTTTGCAGATGGCAGGAAACTGTTCTGGGTTGTGAAGACCAGAAGGGATTGTGAAGAGCTCGAGAAGGATCTCTCCAAATTGGGAGAATGGGCGGCAAAATGGCAAATGCATTTCAGTATAAGAAAATGTAAAGTAATGCACATTGAGGCAAAAAATAACAACTTTAGGTAAAGCTAAAGGTTCCCCTTGACATTTAGTCCAGTCGTGTCTGACTCTAGGGCGCAGTCTCCAAGCCGTAGAGCCAACGTTTGTCCGTAGTCAAGTTTCCATGGTCACGTGGCCATCATGACTAGACATGGAACACCGTTACCTTCCCACCATAGTGGTACCTATTTATCTACTCGCAATTACGTGCTTTCAAACTGCTAGGTTGGCAGGAGCTGGGACAAGCGACGGGAGCTCTCTCAGTCGTGTGGATTTGATTTTATGACTGCTGATCTTCTGACCTTGCAGCACATTGAGGCAAAAAATCACAAATTTAGTTATCGACTAATGGGTTCTGAGCTGTCTGTGATGGATAAGGAAAGAGATCTTGGTGTGCTGGTGGGCAGCTCGATGAAAGTGTCAACCCAGTGTGTGGTGGCAGTCAAGAAGGCCAGTTCCTTGCTAGGTATCATTAAAAAGGGGATTGAAAATAAAACAGGCAACAGTATAATACCATTGTACAAAGTGCTGGTAAGGCTGTAACTGGAGTACAGTATTGCGTTCACTTCTGGTAGTCGCACCTCAAAAAAAGGCATAGTGGAACTGGAAAAGGTGCAGAAGAGAGGAACTAAAATGATTATAGGGCTGGGGCACCTCCCTTATGAGGAAAGGCTACAGTGTTTGGGGCTCTTTAGTCTAGAGAAAAGGCACCTGAGGGGGGGCATGATTGAGTCATATAAAATTATGCAAGAGATGGATCTAGTGGATAGAGGGAAGCTTTGTTCTGGCTCACACAATTCTAGAACCAAGGGTAATCCACTCAAATTGAGTGTTGGGAGAGTGAGAACAGACCAAAGAAAATATTTCTTTACCCAGCGTGTTGTTAGTCAGTGGAACTCATTGCCACAGGATGTGGTGATGGCATCCAGCCTAGATGCCTTTAAAAGGGGATTGGGCAGATTCCTGGACACAAAGTCCATCGCAGGTTACAAGCCATGATGGAGATGTATAATCTCCAGGCTTAGAAGGAAGGTACCTCAAAATGCCAGATGCATGGGAGGGGTATCAGGAGACAGGGATCTAGTCTTGTGTGCTCCCAGAGGGATCTGGTGGGGCCAATGTGAGATACAGGAAGCTGGACTAGATGGGCCCTTGATCTGATCCAGCAGGGGTCTTCTTATTTCTTATGATTTCAAATCCTGTCTTGAGCTGGGAGTAGGAGTTGGTAGTCTCACAGTCCACTTCCAACTAAATTATTATATGATTCTATTATGGTCCTCCTTCCCATAAAAATTTAATAAACAGATAGGAAATGTAATTTCTTTGGCCAGAATTTTGTTGGGCAAAACTTCATATATAACCTAATCCCTCTTGACAGACTGCCTTTTGCATATCATATGTGGCTAATACTCTTTTGAAAGGGAAAACCACTTGCATAGTTGTATGTGCTGTTCTGCTCAACAAAAGTTTGCCTTTGCATTCACCTTATTTTGAGATGAAATGTTTTCTCACTTTCTTCTAATACAGTTCTAATATCATTGTGCTCTTACCATGGTGTACAGTGAGCCATTGAAACAAAGTTGAAGTATTCTCTTTTCATTTCCATAATGAACAATTTATCACACTTTAACCTAGCACAAGATGTTGTCTACCCTTATGCCGCACACCTCTGCAAAAATCCTATTTTCAAGTATTTTAGAAAAAAGTACGTTTGTGTGCATTTGTTAGTGAGAATATTTGTCAGCAATAAGAGTGATACAGTGGACCCTTGACGTATGGAATTAATCTGTATTGGAACGGTGTCTGTAGGTCGAAAATGCATTTCCCATAGGAATGCATTGAAAACCCATTAAACCGTAACCCGCCCAAAAAACACCCCCCCACAAAATTAAAATAAATTTAAAAAATTAGAAACCTTACCTTTTTGAAGCCTTCCAGGGGTCCCCCACCGCCGTCATCGCCGCTGCCGGAGGACTCTGAGGGCTTCGGCGGCACTGCCAGAGGACTCTCGGAGCTCCCCCACCCCCACCGATCCAGGCTTTCCCAGGCAGTAGACCGGGCCAACCGGGGGAAGCCCTCCCCTGGTCGGCCCGGTCCACCCTAGGAAAGCCTGCATCGGGGGGTGGGACCTCCAGAGGCCTTCCCCATCACCATGGGAGGCTTCTCGGAGGTCCCCTGCCACCACCGGTAGTGCCTCCGAAACACTATCGGCAGTGGGGGGAACCTCTGAGTTGCCTCCCATGGCAAAAGAGAAGCCCTGGAAGGCATCCGGAGGCAGATCCGCTGTCTACGGACTGGAAGGGGGATGCGGGGAAAGCGCCAAATTTGAATTTTGCGCTTTCCCCAGCTCCCTTTTCTGGTCCGTAGGTTGATTCTCCGGCTTGCTTTCCCCGGCTCCCTTTTCTGGTCCATAGGTTGATTCTCCGGCTGCAAGTTGGAGAAGTACGGATCTTGAAAAGTTCGTAAGCGGAGCTGTTTGTAAGTCGAGACTCCACTGTAGTGTACACTCATGATTACAGTTAAACTGTCTTGTGGCGAAGGGAGGATCAGAACATGTCAATCATGGAAAGCTTTGGGTAGTCTTAGGTTAACAAGAAATCTGTATAATTAAGTAGTTAGTGCAGTCTTTGACTCCCCAATTTTTTTGTTGATTGTTTTTCTAAGAGCAACTACGCTTGGCAGCTGTTTGTATTGAGAAGCATATTTTCTAATATGTGTATGTAACATTCATTCTCTGCCATGATAAAAATGGTTATAAGATCTCTGATTTCAAAGATGGTTGAGAATTTTATTTTTTGCTGATGGAAGGTCAAAATGGTTTCAAGTCGCAGTTTTCTTACAGTGTTAATGTTTTGCTTTTAAAAAAATCATATTTTAAATGTGCTATACTGTATAAAGATATTCTTTAGAGCTGGGGTCCCCAACCCCTGGTCTACAGCCTGGTACCGGGCTGAACCGGGTCACAGAGACAGATCTCCCACCCCCTGCACGTACGCTCCCCCATGCGCACATGCACACGCTGCTCTCCATGCACACAGGTGTCCTGCCCACCCATGCACAGACCCCGCCCCAACTGATTCGCAGTTCGTAAAAGGTTTGGAAACCCCTACTTTAAAGCATTCATCTCTTTGTGCAAGTCTGTGGTTATATTGATACAAAGCAAATGGAGGTGGAGCAGTCAGGAAACCAAGTAAATTGTGAAACACACTCAATTAATACCAGATGTCAAGAGGTGAGCTCCCTCTGAGTGGAAAGCCCTATGAGCGTAGTAACATGAAATAATGCTCTTTGTGCAAGTGTTGCTGTTACACAAACAGAAGTCAGGATTTCTCCATGGAAATTAAAGGTTCTGCAATAGCAAAGCTTGCACAAGCAATATGGCCCCACATTACTACACTAGCAGGACTTCAGTAGAAGATCAGTGGGATACTAGCCTTAAAGATCTGTAGACACAGTTATGGAAAAGGAGATATGATACTGTATATGTAGTTGTTCCCAGCTGAAGTAAAAGAATAAGTTCTGCCATCTTAGTTTTCCCTGCTTGTTATTATTGCACCTGCTGCTAAAAGAAACCAGTTTTATAAAAATAATATTAAAGTACTGTGAGTAGGAATATTTTGAACAGAAGCTTCTCCTACCTATGCCTCCTACATGTAAAAGTGTATCTAGAACTCTAAGGCAAAAGGTATGAATTAGCAAATGATTGGTGGGGACTGTGTTAAGCGGTTTTTTTAAAATGTTATGGTTTTATTCCTTATATTTTAGTGTAATTTATACATTTCCCCTAAAATATCTCACTACAGCGTGATTTTTTTCTGCTTGTTTTTATCTGCTGTTGGAATACCTAATAGATTGTGATGCTATATTATTGTTTTTTGTAGAAATGTTATGAACAAAAACAATACAAAAATGGACTCAAATTTTGTAAGATGATTCTCTCCAATCCAAAGTTTGCTGAACATGGAGGTAAGTGCAAAATTGTAGTTAATTTAATTTTAAAAACATGGGGAATGTTTTGTTTATCTCAAAGTAGTCATATTTATTTTATACATTGAATCCTGAACTGCAGCCTTAAACTAGAGATATAAAAATTGCCATTAAAAACCTTCTCAGCACACCCATCCCCTTTTGCAACATTAATTCTAAAATTAGGCTACTTTTCTAAGTAGAAAATTTATTTGTGGCATGTACACATACATCAGAATGAAGTGAATTGTATCATTTCAGACGGAGAAGTATAGTTTTCACTTAATCGTTGTTGTTGTTCTTTTGGGGTATGAGGCAGGGAGTTTGTGTCTGTGAGTTTATTTTTGACATAGGCATCATCTCCCTCCTGTTGGGTAAATGCTTCTACATTATAAAAGCATGTTCCCTGTTATTTTTTTTACTGTTTTAACAGTATTACAGTGCATATGCTACATTTAATCTTAGCCAAAAAGCTGAGAAGCAGTTGTTTTAATAGTACCTAAAATGCAACTACAATCTGTAGACTGCTATGCAGATAGTGGTACAGTATAGACCACTGTACCAGCTCAAGTTGCTAAGATGTGTGAACCAGTTCTCTGTTGTGTAAGTTCTCTGTTGTGTTCTGAGGATGGTTTTGAAAAATAAATTCCTCCTCTATGGTTATTGATCATAAGTTATATGGCTTTGAGCATGATTAATTTCATTGGGATTTGCCCTGATCCAGTTTAGTATTATATGTAGAACAGGGAGGTGCTTGTTATGATTTACTCAGTGGATTGGCCAGCATGGTGTACATCAGGGTTACCTCTTCTGTTGAATTTGGGTAGGTGGGGTCCATCTATATATTAGATTGCCTGCACCACAAAGAAGGTGCTTGGATTAGGAGAACGGAAAAACTACATTATCATTTTCAAAGGTCTTATTGTTGGCATTTAGATTGACTCTTCATAAATCATTAAATCTTTCCTGCAGAAACCTTGGCAATGAAAGGACTGACCTTGAACTGTTTAGGAAAAAAAGAAGAGGCATATGAATTTGTGCGTAGGGGACTTCGTAATGATGTCAAAAGTCATGTCTGTATCCTTTGAAATAACATACCAAGTTCATCTTTTCCTTTGGTTCTCCCTCTAGATATCATTGTGAAATGTACAGTTGGATCCTTTGTCACATAAAATTTTATAGTGAAGATAAAGCACTCATAAATTATTAAACAATTGCGGACTTATACTAAACAAGAGCCTCGTGGCGCAGTGGTTAAAACGCTGTACTGCAGCTAAAACTGTGCTCACGACCTGGGGTTCAAATCCCAGGTAGCCGGCTCAAGGTTGACTCAGCCTTCCATCCTTCCGAGGTCGGTAAAATGAGTACCCAGCTTGCTGGGGGGGCAATGTGTAGCCTGTATAATTAAATTGTAAACCGCCCGGAGAGTGCTTGTAGCGCTATGGGGCGGTATATAAGTCCAATAAATAAATAAATAAATAAATAAATAAACTGTGTAGTTTAGTAATTTATAAAGGAAAAGACATTGATTTCTCTTAACCATGCAACTGTATTCCTGGTCATGCAGTAAACTGACCCAATGAACTTCTTTTGCTAACCATTTTAGAGAAATTTCTTGCTCAAAACTGAGATGTGTCTCATTATGTGAATAAATCATGAAAGGCACTGCATCCACTTTCCAGAAACTAATACTTGCATTTCAAAATAAAGGAAATGGAATAATGTTTGATAAATTATTGGAACATTCCCACATAATGGCTGAAATCCTGTTGCTTAGCATAGTAAGTTGCACTTGAGTAGACCCACTGAATCAGCGTGGTAAGCCACCTCCTCTGTAGGTTCCATTGATTGAAATGGAGCTACTCGAATTTCAACTTACTACACTTTGAAAATTATTAGGTTCATTTGATTCCTTCAGTTACTTACAGGCATTTGTTGCTAAATTAAATCCACAGAACCAATTGGAACCATTCCGTTTCCCTCACTTTGCCAAAAGTCTTTGTTTGGAAATGTGAAACAAATGCTATCTCCCATACAGATAAGTTATACCTTTTCTAGCTAGACTTCTGTTTCTGCCTCCTTTAAGCATTCTAGTACTCTGCCTTGTTGCAAGAAGACATGTGAAGTTGTTTCTGTTTTTCATCTGTTTTGGATTGCAAGCTATTTTAAAGGTAATTCTGTGTTGCATCTTGTAGATTTGTCTTAACATCACTGCCAGTTAACTTTAGTTTCCTAATGTGTTTCAACACACTAGGAAACTAATGTGGATTGGTGCTTGACAAAAGGTTTAGTTTGTGAGCAGTCATTACCTTTCTGCACACCACATGGATTGTAGAAAATGCTGCAGGTCAAGTTACAGTACTGCATCATCTCAGCTGGTTAGCCTAGCTGAGCTGGGGAAAGAAACAATAAACTAAAGAGAATTCTAAGATAAATAAGGTACCCTGCCTGCCATTGAGAACATTGCTTCAACCTTTGCAGTGCTTTCTGTCAGTACAGCTCTCAGACCAGCAATGCTGGTTAAGAGATTCTGAGAGTTGTAGTCCAAAAAGTTGCAACTCAAAGCTCTGAATATCATGCCATAGCCTCTTTAATGCAAGGTTTGCATTACTTCGTGGGTTGTTTATATCAATATCTTTAAAGAAGACTGTGTGCTACTTATGAAAACCAGAAGATGAAATAGAATATTTATAGTTTTGACACCAGAATACGCTATAGAGATTCATTTCCTTTCCTTATGTTTTGCAGTTATGCCTGGGAATGGTCAGACATTTTCAGGTGGCATTGGATCCCCTCTTTTTTAGACTTTTCGTGAGGGATAAGCTGTTATCAGAGTGAAAAATTAATTGATTCTTACATGTTCACATTAAACTCCAGGTCGACACCTGAGTTACAATCCTAGCGTCACAGAGCATAAGGATTTTGTGAGCAACATGCTCTGCATTTGGCCCAGTGATCTCTGGTTTGCAGTTATACAGGCTGGAGATTGCTCTAGTGAGGACTGCTGCTTCTGCAAGGGTATGCAGAAGGAGGCTTCCAGAAGAATGTGAACACATTCAGGTGTCACTTGGCAGCTCCCTGTGAACTGGTCCTTCCACCCCAGGAACACCATTGGACTCTTCTGATGCAGACAATGAAGAAGCCTTTTGTGCTTTTGTTGAAGTCCCTGTTTTACAAATGGTGAAGAAGGAGTAGCATACAACAACCAATTTTACATCGTGTTGGACACTAACAAGACCTCAGGGTTTGTTTGTTTTTAAACACATAGTTTTTTTCAGTTAAGATTATAGTCATTGTGCTGTGGGAAAATACAGGTTCTTTGTAAAGTAGCAGTTGGGATTCAGGGATTGCCTGATGATGGATTCAGAGGGATTCAGTGGAGCCAAAAGTAATCCTATTGAAGACATCATGGGATAAAACACATTGTAACTGCAAAGTATACCTATAGCTAGAGCCCCAAAGTGGCATACTGAAGATCCAGCTCATTTGTTTCTAGAGATAGCCTTAATGACAAAACCTCAGGATTGATGGTGCTGTGAAAGGTTCAGCTAACATTCCAGGATTTGATCCTAGATGAACATGCTGATCTGACTTGCATTACAGAGACTTGGTTTGATGAAACTGAGGCCTTCTCAGCTTTGCCCACCAGGGTTCTATGAGCAGCTGCAGGCCAAACTTCAGGGGTGAGAAGAAGGAGTTGCAATAGTCTGTCAAGATGCAGTTATCCTTACCAGGTACAGTGGTGCCTCGCACAACGATGTTAATTGGTTCCAAAAAAAAACATCGTTGTGTGAAACATCGTTCTGTGAAACTCCATTTCCCATAGGAATGCATTGAAAACCGGTTAATCCGTTCCAATTGGAACGGATTGCCGTCCTTAAGCGAAAATCCCCATAGGAAACATCGTTGAGGGAAACGTGGTTCCCCAATTGAAATGCATTGAAGCCGACTCAGTGCATTTGAATGGGTTTGCGAAGTCCCTTTTCGCTCCTGTAAAAGTGCCTTAAACTGTTTGAAAAGTGTTTTAAATGCTTGCAATCGTTAGCCCACCTCCTGAAACCTATACAGACTTAATTTGGTGTTGTTCTGAGGCGTCCTTAATTTTTGGTGATTTTTTGTTTTTTCTCTCATTGAACCCTATTGAACTGTCCGTCCAATGCATTTCAATGAGAGAAAAAACAAAAAATCACCAAAAATTAAGGACGCCTCAGAACAACACCAAATTAAGTTTGCATAGTGTAAAGTGCCTTAAACTGTTTGAAACCTGTTTTAAATGCTTGGCATCGATAGTCCAGCTTGTGAAACGTAAGCAAACGTAATTTGGTGTTGTTCTGAGGTGTCCTTAATTTTTGGTGATTTTATGTTTTCTCCATTGAAAGCCATTGGACGGACAGTTCAATAGGGTTCAATGAGAGAAAAAACAAAAAAAATCACCAAAAATTAAGGATGCCTCAGAACAACACCAAATTACGTTTGCTTACGTTTCACAAGCTGGACTATCGATGCCAAGCATTTAAAACAGGTTTCAAACAGTTTAAGGCACTTTTACAGGAGCGAAAAGGGACATTGTTGTGCGAAAATTCCCCATAGGAAACATTGTTGTGTGAGGCGGCAAATTTTTCAGGAAAAGCCATCGTTGTGTGAATTTATCGTTGTGTGAGGCACTCGTTGTGCGAGGCACCACTGTAGTTTTGTCCCACAGATTACTGGGTTTGAGTGCATGTACCTGAGAGTCAGTGCCTGGCACAGAATAGGGATTCTGTTGGTGTACCACCCATTCCGTTGTGCAACAGTCTCCCAGCCTGAGCTGACGGATGTGGTCTCGGGAATGATGCTGGAGTCACCTCAGCTTGTTATGTTGGGGAACTTCAACGTCCATATGGAGACCAGTTTATCAGAATTGCCTCAGGAATTCATTTCTGTTGTGACAGCCATAGGGCTGCCCCAAGTGATATCTGGTCCCACTCATGTTGTAGGGCACACTCTTGACATTTTCTCTCAGTCAGTCGATTGTCATGGACAGATCACTACCAGGTATGGTTTAGGCTTTTTGGAACTGCGAGGGTGCAGGGCCAGTTAAAATGGTCCTTGCTAGATGGCTTTTGGGGAGTTTCCTGCTGCCTTGACAGATCATCCTTATCGTGGCCTTGGCTGATTTCTGGAATAAGAAAGTGGCCTGACTGTCGCCTCCCATGAAGTGCAGCTAGACCTGCTCCTAAAGAGCTGGGGATGATGAAACAAGTGAGATGGAAACTAGAGTGACTGCCAAAAAACTGGGAGCAGATCCGATCAAATAGAGGCTTGAGCTCATTGGAAAACCTTCTCTGTGGTAGCAGCAAAGAAGCTACAGTGGTGCCTCGCTTAACGATTGCCTCACTTAACGAGGAAATCGCTGTACGATTAGGTTTAAACGATGGTTTAAATGGTGTTTTTTTTCGTTTAACGATGATCAATTCCCTGCTTCGGGAACCGATTTTTGCTTTACGACGAACAGCAAACAGCTGATCGTCAGGTTTCAAAATGGCCGCCGGCTGAAGAAAATGACTCCCCACTGTTTTCTAGGACGGATTCCTCGCTTTACAGGCACCAAAAATGGATGCCGTATGGAGGATCTTCGCTGGACAAGCAGGTATTCAGCCCATTGGAACGCATTGAACAGTTTTCAATGCATTTCAATGGGTTTTTAAATTTCGTTTGACGATGTTTTCGCTCTACAGCGATTTCGCTGGAACGAATTAACATCGTCAAGCGAGGCACCACTGTATTCTTTTTTGCCACTATTGTGTCTACATACAACTGTTGAGCAGAGCTCTTTTGGGTGGTCAAGGGCCTGTTGCACAGGTGGCCAGAAGAGAAGTACACCGACCACTCAGATTCCTGCTGTGAAGATTTTGCACAGCATTTTGCAGATAAAGTTGCCTAGATATGCTCTGATTTAGATGCTGTAGTTGACATAGGTCCTGTTGATGTAACTTTGGCCCGTGCTTATCCATAAAGGATGGATATGTTTCAGTTTGTGCTTTTGGAGGATGTGGACAGGATGTTTGGGGGGGATGAAAGCCACCACGTGTGCTGGACACTTGTCCTTCCTGTTTTATAAAAGTTGCCAGTGGGAACTGGCTGAGTGGATTAAGGGAATGGTGAATATCTTCTTGCAACAAGGCAGAGTACCAGAGTGCTTAAAGGAGGCAGTAACAAGACTCTTGTTTGAAAAGCCCTCCTTGAATCCCACTGTATTTGTTAATTATCAGATAATCTCCAATATTCCATTTTTGAGCAAGGCCTTGGAGTGTGTGGTAGTGTCTCAGCTTTAGAGGTTCCTGAATGAAGCAGATTATCAGATCCATGGCTTCAGACCTAGGTACAGATTGGAGGTGGTTGTATTGGCCTTGATAGATTACCTTTGACAGAAACTGAACAGGGGGAGTGCTTCCCTTTTAGTTCTTCTGCATCTCTCAGTGGCTTTTGATGCCATTGACCATAGTATCCATCTAGGGCACTTTCTGGGATGGGTTTTAGGGGTGTTTATTTATTGCATTTATGTACTGCCCATTTAGTGGCGAACCACTACTCTGGGTGGTTTACAGTACATAAAAACACCTGACCCCTCCCAAACAAAAACATACAAACAATACAGATTAAAAATAAAAGGGAGTAACAGCAACAAAATAATAAAAATTAGTGACAACAAAATAACAAAAATTAAACAAAACAATATAAGTATCTCTCATGGGGGAAGAATATTTCAAAAATACTCTCTGAAAAGCCATGTTTTTACCAGCTTGAGGAAGGCTATAAGGTAGCGGTGGCAAAACTTTTTGGGCTTGTATGTCCAACTGGGGGGGGGGAGGGACACAGCGGGGGGTGGGCCGCGGCATCGGTGGAACTGGAAGTGGCGGCGGAAGGGGGAATCCTGGCACAGAGGTGCCTCAAGACCCCACTCTGGATCCGCTGCCAGCACCAGCTGCTCCGGATCCGCCTGCCAAAGTGCCAGCACCGTGGCTGCATCCACCTTCTCAGGTTTGGCTGCGCGGGGGTGGTGGTGGAGTGGAGTAGCAATCTGGCGACTTACGGCTTGCATGCCGGCAGAAGGGGCTCTGAGTGCCAGTTGCGGTACGTGTGCCATAGGCTCGCCATCACTGCTACTATAAGGGAAGGGCCGGGCACAGTTCTGGAGGCAGGGCATTGCATAATGTCCCAGCCACCGCACAGTTCCTAGTTGTAGTTTTCTGGGCCTCCTTCGGTGTGGACACCTGCAGCACCAGGGCCTGGGATGCTCCTGAAACCATCCTGGCTGCTGCATTCTGAACCTGTTGCAGCTTCTGAGTTGCCTTCAGGGATAACCCCACATAGAGAACATTATAGTAGTTGATCTTCAAGATGACCAACACGTGTGGAGAGGATTTCTCATTTGGATAGGGCTGCAGTTTTATGATTGCCAGAGTTGGAAAAGGCAGACCTGGCCACGCCAGAAATTTGTTTCCCTATGGAGAGGGCTGGGTCCAAAAGTACACCCAAATTGCGAACCTGGAACTTCAGGAGGAATGAAATCCTGTCCAATCCAGGCAAGATGCCGCCTTAGTTAGTCAAGATCCCCTCCTGACAATAATATCTCTATCTTGTCATAATTCCGTTTCAGCCTGTTAGCTCTCATCTCTTTCATAACCAAGGCCAAGTAATGCTCTTCCCTTCTCTGCTTCTAAGATCTTCTGGGGAGGCCTTTCTCTTAGTTCTACCATCTTCCCAAGCTCATTTGGTGAGGATACAAGAGAGGGTCTCCTCAGTAGTTGCTCCCAGGCTTCAGGATGTGCTGCCCTGAGAAGCCAGATTGGCCCTCTTCCCCTTGTCTTTCCATAATCAGGCAAATACCATCCTTTTCAGGCAGGCTTTTAAACAATAAATTGGCATCTAGAGAATGCTGTTTTTAAGAAACAGAGTGCTGTCCCCTGAAGATGCCGGCCACAGAGACTGACAAAATGTTAGGAAGAACAATCTTCAGAACACAGCCAAAGAGCCCGAAAAACCCACAACAACCAAATTTAGATCTCCTTATACAGTATGTTTTTTAAAAATGTTTTTAAAATTGTTTTGTATCTTGTTTTAATATAGTTTTGTGCAGCATTTTAGCCTGTTACACTTGTAAAAAATTAGCCACTTTGAGCCACCTTGGTAGCGAAAGAAAGAAAGAAAGAAATGGGTCTCTAGAGCTATTGGTTTTACTGTAGTATACATTGATAAGACTTTCAGTGTTGATGTTAGTTGCTTTTTATTGTGGTTTCTTGTACTGTATAAACTACAGAATGGTTTGTCAGTATTTGCTTTCTGTGGCAGACAGTAACTGTGGTTAATAGTCATTTACATATGACTTACATATTTATAACTATGCCATTAACAATTAATGCATTTTGTGGAAGATAGTTCATGTTAAAGTGTTACTAAAATTGTGCATTATATTGCTAGTTTCTCCATTGTATTTTATGTTGTGTAGATCACTCCCATGGCTAAAATCATAACAGGACTGGTGTGTGAGAGAAAGATCATATCCTTAACTTATGATGTGTGAATTATTCTAAATGATGAATCATTTCAGGGATACATATGATAGAAAACAATGTATATTTGAGCATTTCCTTAACTCTGTTAGGTTGGCATGTTTATGGACTCTTGCAGCGCTCTGATAAAAAATATGATGAAGCAATTAAATGCTATCGTAATGCTCTTAAGTTGGATAAAGACAATCTACAAATACTAAGAGATCTCTCACTGCTCCAGATCCAAATGAGGGATCTTGAGGGATACAGAGTAAGTAATTCATTTTAAAAATTATGACTAGTTCAGTTTTTCTCGCATACCACAGTTAAGAGTGCTATCTAGATTTTCACTGTACTTTTAAGAGATGTACTTGTTATTCATTGTGTTCTCTATGCTTCATACAATTGGGTTCTGTGCCTACATGAAAAATACAAAACTTTCCAGAGCCTATAGCCTGTACTCCTCTTTTTTATAGTACACATTTTTCACCCATTACCACAATCCCTTTTTTTTCTGCTGCAGCAACAGGATCTTTGGTGTGTTCTGGAGCTCAAAAAATAAAACTATTTTTTGTAAATAGCTGTAAAACTTTGTTTTTCTACTTGTTACGAAAAAGAAAAAAAAAAGAGTTCAGACATTTCATTGTTTCCTTAACCTCTTCCCATACTTCCCTATTCCTATCCTAACAAGCAGTCAGTTGCAAAGGTGTTAATGAAGTTCTGTCTGGGGAGAAAAAAATATATCAGACAGGTGGGCATGACCAATGCTTATTTTGCTTAGGAGATCATTTGGCTAAAATTTGTTCAATCTGCAGAGGATTTACTAATGTGACCTTATATAATTGTCCATCATGACTAAAACCATCTCTCTGGGAAAAGTGTCTAAAAGCCTCACAGCATAAATCACAGTCAACCAGTTTTCAACAACAACAACAAAATCCTTACAAAACAGAAAACAATGGACTCTGTGCCTGAAAAAAAAATACAGTAATCAGCAAAGATATTGACATGGAAAGACAATAGGACCTTCAGCATTAGAAAAACAACAACACTCAATGTCGACATCTAAAAACATAAAGAAAAGGAGGAGCACATCTCATGGAAATGGAGACAAGCTGAAAAAGGCTATGAAAAAAAGCTTATGATATAGAAGCAGTCAGTAGTAGTATGACAGATAGATCAATCTGCTTTAAACGAACAGAACAAACAACAAAATAATGTATTTAGTTTAATGGTTTTAGTTTAGATGGAGATCTACCTAGCCCATCTGTATATCAGTATTGTACTTGAAGCTCTCATATACAAGAACTACTCCTACTCCAAATGTAACATCTCCAAAAACAACTGCACAGAGGAAAAGCTTGAAGTTGAGGTAACTATCGCAATCAATATCACAATGTCAATAATGTCATGTTGCCTTGGAAATATTTATTTTGCACCATTTTTCTACATGCCACCATGCTACAACAAAAATATGTATTGGCCTTTCCAGATGTCATTCAAAAGAGAGGTCTCCATGACATTGATATCGAAGGAACCTTTCTCTAGGAAGACACTGTTCAGAAAGGAGACAATCGAAATGAGAATCTCCTTCATGTAACCAACATTGTGAGAAAAAGAAAGCAACTTTCTCACAATCTAGTCATTGAGCAGATAGTTCTTGTTTGGCATCAAGATCACCATCTAAACAATGATGCCATACATTACAGTCCAGTTCTTGTCAACAAACAACTTCAAAACTGACATTGATAAAATTTACGGAAACAACAGATTCAGAGCAAATAATCTTATCAACACCTAATCCAGAATTTATATTTACCACAATTCTTCCACAATTCTCAGCATCAACATTTATTTGTTTGTTTGTTTGTTTATTTATTTAACTTATATGCCACCCACTCTACCCAAAGGTCTCTGGGCAGCTTACAACAATTAAAATTCAATTCAAATACAATAAAAGATAAAATGATTAAAATACAATTAAAATAGATACTCTAAAAATTGCCATCAGGACCCACAGTTGATGTTATTTCAATTAAAAGCTTTCTGGAAAGGAAGGTTTTGACCTGGCGCCGAAATGTCATCGACGTCGGCGCCTGACGAATCTCAGTCAGGAGGGCGTTCCATAGTCTGGGGGCAGCTGCCGAAAAGGCCCTTTGTCTGCAAGCTGTCCCTCTTACCTCCTTGAGGGACGGCTCTTTCAAAAGGGCCCCCTGGCTAGATCTTAACTGCTGGGTAGGCTCATATGGAAGGAGGCGGTCCTTCAGATATCCAGGGCCCAAGCCATTTAGGGCTTTATATGTCAAACAAGCACTTTGAATTGGGCCCGGGCAGCAATTGGTAGCCAATGTAACTTAAACAGAATTGGCTGGATATGTTCCCTAGCGGTCGCACCACTCACCAGCCGTGCAGCTCGATTCTGGACCAGTTGCAGTTGCCGGACCATCTTCAAAGGCAGCCCCATGTAGAGCTCATTGCAACAATCTCTACGAGATGTTACTAGTGCATGTGTAACTGTCATGAGACTCCGTTCGTCTAGGTAGGGCCATAGCTGGTACAGTTTCCACAGCTGAAGGAAGGCGCCCCTGGCCACCGAGTCCACCTGGGCTTCCAGAGTCAGACTGGGGTCCAGGAGCACCCCCGGGCTGCAGACCCTGTCCCTTATGGGGTGTGTAACCCCATTCAGAGCAGGAAAATGGCCCTCCAACCTGTCCGGCGAAGCACCCACTAACAGCACTTCGGTCTTGTCTAGATTGAGTTTCAATTTATTAACCCTCATCCAGTCCATTATCAGGTCCAGACACGAGTTCAGCACAGAAACCGCCTCACCTGGATTGGTGGAAAACGAGAGGTAGAGCTGAGTGTTGTCAGCATATTGCTGACTCCTCAGCCCAAACCTCCTGATGACCTCTCCCAGCGGTTTCATGTAGATGTTGAACAGCATGGGGGACAGTATTGAGCCCTGAGGAACCCCATGACATGAATGCCATGGTGCAGAGCAACTGTCCCCCAGCACCACCCTCTGGACACGGTCAGCCAGGAAGGAGTGGAACCACCATAAAACAGTGCCCCCAACTCCCAACCCAGCCAGCCTATCCAGAAGGACACCATGGTTGATGGTGTCGAAAGCCGCTGAGAGGTCCAGGAGTATCAACAGGGTCACATTCCCCCTGTCTCTCTCCTGGCAAAGGTCATCGTACAGGGCGACCGAAGCAGTCTCTGTACCAAAACCCGGCCTGAAACCCGATTGAAATGGATCCAGAAAATCCGTTTCATCCAGCAGTGCCTGGAGTTGCCCGCTCCAACGTCGTCGTTTAGTCGTGTCCGATTCTTCATGACCCCATGGACCAGAGCACGCCAGGCCCTCCTATATTCCACTGCCTCCCAGAGTTGTGTCAAATTCATGTTGGTTGCTTCGATGACACTGTCCAACCATCTCATCCTCTGTCGTCCCCTTCTCCTCTTGCCTTCACACTTTTCCCAACATCAAGGTCTTTTCCAAGGAGTCTTCTTTTCTCATGAGATGGCCAAAGTACTGGAGCCTCAGCTTCAGGATCTGCCCTTCCAGTGAGCACTCAGGGTTGATTTCCTTCAGAACAGATAGGTTTGATCTCCTTGCAGTCCAGGGGACACTCAAGAGTCTCCTCCAGCCCCACAATTCAAAAGCATCAATTCTTCAGCGGTCAACCCTCTTTATGGTCCAGCTCTCACTTCCATACATCGCTACTGGAAAAACCATTGTTTTGACTATGCAGGCCTTTGTTGGCAAGGTGATGTCTCTGCTTTTTAAGATGTTGTCTAGGTTTGTCATTACTTTCCTCCCAAGAAGTAGGCGTCTTTTAATTTTGTGGCTCCTGTCACCATCTGCAGTAATCATGGAGCCCAAGAAAGTAACATCTGTCACTGCCTCCATCTCTTCCCCTGGAAGCAATGTTCACTGATAAATCAGTTATCTAGCACTTGCTGTATGTAGTACAATGTGGAGTCAAGAAGCTGCGTTCTTGTTAAAGGCCACAATGTTATATAATTTTCATTAGTATGATCAGTATGTCTGGATGTTTGTTTTAAAGGATATTATGATTGTACTAAATTCCCAGTCTATGGTAGTGGATGGAGTGATGGACTAGGACTCTGAATATAACAGGGTTCGAATCTCTGCTCAGCCATGGAAACTCACTGGGGTAATGGAACTGGTAAAACCACTCTTTAAATATCTCACTTACCTTGAAAGCCCTATTAGGGTTGCTATATATCAGTTCTGACTTAAACACACACATTATTTGACTATTGCTAAGCAGCTCAGTGAGCTATTTTAATTGCCTGTTTTTAAATTGGAATTTTTCTCTTATATTGTACCTTGTAAAGTCCTTTATTTGGTCATAAGAGGCAGTCAGCTTGGGAAATTTCTGTGAGATGCTTGTACAGGCACAGAACCCAGTTGTGTGAATTCATAGATGACCCTAAGAAGAACACGGATATCAGTGAGTAACTGTCCACTTGTTGATCAAATATATAAACTATCAGCATTGCTTTGATGCCTTCTTGAAAGACATTTTAAAGCAAGCCTGTTCAAGGCTGATTTTAAAAACCACCGGTCTTTCCATGGAGTAGGGATAGGCATCATGTTGATATGGCCTCCAAGGCAGACTCCCAGCTTAATCTGAATTTTGCTTTGAGTACAGCTGAGATCATTCCTCTCTGCCATAGCATGCAGTAGTTAGGGAAAAAAGCTATATGGAAGTAGAACAAAGAAAAAAACCAATAGAATTGAAGAATTTTTGGTAAGAAGTTGAGAGTTGGCTTGGATTCTGTGCTGCTTGCAATTTATCTTATTCTAGGACAGTTTCAGTGGGGAATCATGTTTTCTTCCTAGTTAATATAAATAAAGTCAATTATTACGACAGGTTCCTAGTTTACCTTGCAAGGGGTCCTGATGAACCTTTCTAACTTGGGTGTTGCCTTTTTCTTTAAGCCGTTTTTTTCAACCAAAGACTTATTTTGCAGTGTTGTTTAATAATTACAGGCTTGTGTTATTTGGTTGCCTATTTATATTAATCTCTTTAAAGGAAACCAGATATCAGCTACTCCAGCTGCGACCTACTCAGAGGGCTTCATGGATTGGATATGCAATTGCATATCATTTGTTGAAGGATTATGATATGGCCTTAAAGCTACTGGAAGAATTTAGAAAAACTCAACAGGTAAGATTGTTTTTCTAATTTCTTTCCTCTGTCCATACCGATAAATGATAAAGGGAAAGATGTTTATTAACTTCTTAATTTTTTTGGTATATTTCCTATTACATTTGTCTTCTTTTTTAATATTGCAAAATACTAAGGTAAACATGAATAGGTTGTTGTTTCTGTTCACATTGAGTTCACATATAAATATTTTGTTGTAGGAAGAGCTGAATTGTGAAATATGTATAGTCATTTTATTATGCAACTGCAGATATATTTCTCATGTAAGATTTTAAGTGCATTAAATGCAGTGATAGTATGTCTCATTGAGTTCTGTGAGCTTTCCTCCTAAATAAATTCAGGTAAGATATAGACATAGCTCTTTAGTAGTTATTGGTTTGGGCAAATAATTATCTAAGGCATTCTGCCCCAGGAATTGAAAAATAAAATATAGTAATAACCCTTTTTTGTAATATTTTAAGTGTGTAAAAGAATTCTCTCACTGACCTCTGCCCTAGAAACTAATAGTACTAGTTCTGGCAGTCAGACCTACCTAGCAGATAGCTGATCACCTACAATTTTATTTCGATATTTTAATTCCTCTCTTAACTATGCATTATTTATTTGTCTGTTATCTGTATTTTCACTTGTTCATGACCATGGTCATCATGGAGATATGCATAAATACAACTGGTATACAGTGGCGCCTCACTTTACGATTGCCCTGCATTACGACAAATCCGCATTACGACAATCTTTTTTGTGATCGCAAAACAATGGTCTAAATGGGGGAATTTCGCTTTGTGATGATCGGTTCCCTGCTTCGGGAACCAATTCTTCGCAAAACGACGATTTTTCAACAGCTGATTGGCAGTTTCAAAATGGCCACCAGGTAAATAAAATGGCTCCCCGCTGTGTTTAGGGACAGATTCCTCGCTATACAGGCAGTGAAAAGGGCTGCCGTATGGAGGATCTTCGCTGGACGGTGAGTTTTAAGCCCATTGGAACGCATTGAAAGGTTTTCAGTGTGTTTCAATGGGCTTTTTATTTTTGCTTTACGATGTTTTCGCTTAACGGTGATTTTCCTGGAACGGATTATCGTCGTTAAGCGAGGCACCACTGTATTATGAGCATGTGTTTTAATAAATGGATTTTGATCCACAAAAGTAGACACGAAACAAATATACTAGTCTTCAGGTGTTGTAATATTTTGTCCCTTCCTTCCTTTTTTCCTTCCTTCAGCATCTGTAGTTAAACAGCAGCAACCTCTACTCTAATATTTTTGTAGCAATAATTTTTTTTGCTTCTTATATCCAAGTCTTTAATTTAAATTCCACTTTCTTTCTAGAACTGATAATCTATGCTTTGTGAAGTTGTACTTTTTCCTGTTTGTATAAATGTAATGACTCTTTTATTTTCCAGATTCCTCCTAACAAAATAGATTATGAGTATAGTGAATTATTATTGTACCAGAATCAAGTGATGAGAGAAGCAGATCTGTTTCAAGAATCTTTGGAACATGTAGAAACTTACGAAAGGCAGATATGTGATAAGCTCATGATCAATGAAATCAAAGGTAAGTCTTCACATGCTTAAATAACTATTATATTCTTGCATCTACATTTCTTGCTTTGGAGCGAAGCTCCAGGCAAGGTTTAGAAGCTTGTATGTTTAGGAGAATTAGAAAAAAGGGCTTTGAAAATGAAATTTGCGGCTTGAACAGAATTAATTTTTTTAAAAGTCCCCATTATTAAAACAACTAGTCAGCTCTGGCAGAACAAGGTCACTGAATTCATAATCATTTTGGCAACTGAACGACTGTTTAGCTTCTCAGTAAATGTTGTGGTTAGAATTTGTAAACAAAAATGTGAGATTGTAAACAAAAGAGGTAAATTATATAATGTGGTTTGAAATGGCATTTGTAAAAAGTATATTATATGAGCTATAGGTTTTCCTACTTTAGAAAAACCTGAATCAGAAATGCCTGCTTTAGGATTTCTTGCAGTTGCAGAAACTAGCCAAAATATGATAATTTAGTTTCTAAGCCAGAAAAATGAAGAGCAAATTAAATGGGATTTTAAATTGTTGTTGCAGACTCAGAAATTCCTGGATGAGAAAAACCTGGTTGGTGAAAAAGATAAGAAGGAAATCAAAACAGATTGGACAAGCATCTGTCTGATCTGCTTTGATTTTGATTCCTGCATTGAACAGGTTGTTGGCCTCGGTGGCCTTATAGGTCCCTTCCAACTCAAATTTTCTATGATTCTATGAAATAAAAACAATTGGAAAAAGATATAAATATGATTGAAATAGATGGCTAGTTTAAGGAGCAAATATGATACTTGACAAGCATTATTAGAGCAGAGAAACGGTAAGATTTCTATTGATGTGATTTGATTAACTTGCTTAAGCTTAATACTTTTAATACATTTTGTTAAACTAGGTTTTATTAGGACATTTATATGGTTATGACTTATTAAGAAAGTTTATGACCTAGATATTTTTCTAACTTAGAAAATAGCATTTTATAACATCACAGAAAGCTTTATATGGGAGACAGGAGAGGGAAGGCATAATACAGATGTGATAGATATTGTATGGATGTGGTGAATAAATTAATGTTTTCTTGCTTGTACAAACTGTTCTGAGAACTATCAGTGCTTATGAAACAAAGTTAGAGTACGTTTGTGCATTGTGGAAATGGCTGGATCTGCTTGTACGTTGTATGCCGGATGTAGTAGTGGAGGAAGGAAGTATGAGAGGCATGATCACATGAATTATGTGGATCACCATGATGTCTGCCATTATCTCTAAATCAACATTCATCATGCTTGATGAAAACTGATGTGGAAAAAGATAGCTGGGGCAGGCTATATGATTAACAGGTTGCCACATAATATTCCCATCAACTTCCATGTAACAAGAATCCATAAGAATTTGTCTTTTTTAATCTTCCAAAACCCAAGATTTGGACTACCAGCTGTAGGCTGCTTGTCTAAACTACACCTGATATTTTATTATTGTACTGCTATTGTTGCTTTAGGAGAAATGTTATTAAAGTTGGGAAGACTAAAAGAAGCTTCTGAAATATACAAAGAACTCATTGATCGGAATTCAGAAAATTGGCATTACTATGAAGGCTTGGAAAAGGCTCTACAAGCACGTAAGTGGTACAAGTTGTAAACTTTGGTCTGTACCTTTTTTTTGTTAGGGTTACATTTAGTAATTGAAACTTCTGTGCTTGGGAAAGAAATTATCTTTGAATTTCATTATCATAATATCTAATATTTATCATCTTAAAATAATCATTAAGCTTAAAATATTAAAATCTGATGATTGGGAAAAACTAGAAGTTGAGTCAAATGACTGCTATCCTAACTGAATTAAAATACATCTTTTTAATGATTTGGGTTTTTCTTTCCTTTGGAGTCTGAGTCCCCACCCCACACTCCAAAGATGCCCCACTGATGAAAAGGATTGCAGAGCATCCTCAGGATATTTTAGAGGAGAATCAGGAGTGTTTTATTTCTGAAAAATTGTTGCTGCTGCTGATGTCATTGGGCTTACACTGCACAATTTACTGAACAGGATTTTAGCTATATTATAACAGAACTACTATTTTTCTTGATTTGCTTTACTCTGATAATTTCTCTTGCTCCTCCAGCGTGTGATTTCTTAAAGAGATATTTATGTGCTCCAGATTGATTTTTGACATTGTTGACAAAGTTCTGTTGTATAAAATTGTGTTTATTACAAAGACATAATACAGATGAAGTAATCAAAAGATGTTGTTGCTGTTTTCAAACCTTCTATTATTAAATTTATTGATTAGGATGACAATTAAAAGCATGTGGAAACAGTTTATATAATATAAATGAAAGCCTTTAGTTATATATTAAACATTAAGTGCTAAATCATATCTTGAGATAAATGGTACAGTGGTAGAATCTGTTAATGTAAATAAAGCTGGGTAAAAGTATTATCCCATGTGGTGTAGTGGATAGAGTAACAGGTTAGTACTCTGGAGGCCAGGGATTGAATACCCACTCAGCTATGGAAACTCACTGGGGGAGTGGAACTGGTAAAACCACAAATATTTCATTTATCTTGAAAGCCCTCTTAGGGTTACTATAAGTTGGTTATGACTTGATGGATAACATAAGATTAAAAAAATGCTAATGATTTAAACCTCATCACCTGTTTCTTATTATCAAAAGATATCACTTGAGATACTGTATACTGATGTAAAGGGTATTTAGCCCAAATGCATTCCCAGTGCCATACCCACCTTTAGGAGGTGTGGGGGCAATTTTGCCATAATTTTAGGGCTTTCCACACCCACTCCCTCACATGCTTCTTCTTCTTCGTATGATGATGAGTAGTAGTAGTAGTAGTAGTAGTAGTAGTAGTAGTAGTAGTAGTAGTAGTTGTTGTTGTTGTTGTTGTTGTTGTTTTGTTGTTCTAAGAATAAGCCACTAAATGGCAAAAGGGGCTTTTAGTACAAAAAAATTGTGGAAGAATTGTGCGTTATGGGTCACAGCAGTAGATGCAGTCCTCCCAAGATCCAGGGAGGTCATGTGTGGCTCCTGGACTTTTGTATGTTGTCCACCTCTGCTATGTATACTAGGACTCTTATTGAAGTGGAGGGAGATAAAATCTCACAACATTTTTTCATGTTTTCTATAATTATGACACTGTGGTTTCAGTGTTTACTGCATAAAATGGTTACAGATTTATATTTATTATTCACCAACAGGCACTTTAGAACAAAGGCTAGAAGTATACGAAGGAATAAGTAGGCAACATCCAAGAGCTGTTTCACCTAGAAGATTACCTCTAAACTTTGTCACAGGTAACTTTATATATTTCACTTCTAAATTTACTCCATTGTACAGTGCTTCATGTTTTGTCCTTACTGGAAGATAGTATTTTGATAATAAGAGGGAAATATCAATAGTGTATTTAAAAATGTACAATAGACCCTGTTGCATTCTCTAGATTGGTGATTCCCAACCTTGGATCCACAGGTGTTATTGGACTAAAACTCCCAGAAGCCTTTGCCACTAGCTGTGCTGGCCAGGACTTCTGGAAGTTGTAGTCCCAGAACATATGGGGACCCAGGGTTGGGAACCACTGTTTTAGATGGTAGGCAGATAGCAAGATTTAAACAGAGAGACCAGTTGTGGGTTCAGACAGACTGTAGTCTCAACTTACTATGACTTTTTTGAGCCTATAGGCTAAACTGGGTCACATGATTGGCACTATGGGTGTTGAATTATGTGGCCAACTGGAACTGACAGGAATAGCTTTAATTTTATTTTTTCTGGTGTGGGTAGTCCCTGCAGAGTTCAAAACAGATCTCCTAAGCCAGACTAGGAGGACAGTTGAATGACCACTATGTATCTTGGCAATGCAAATAAAGTTAGACATTTGATACTGTTTTGACCCATTGGATTACTGATGCATGACTGTTTGCTTGCTTGCTTGCTTGCTTGCTTGCTTGCTTGCTTACAGTGGTACCTTAGTTTACGAATTTAATGTATTCTCTGGGATGTTTCGTATTGTGAAAAATTTGCAAACCGAAACACGGTTTCCCATAGGAACGTATGCACAGGGGCAGCGCTATAAACCTCACATGTGTGGCGCCTCGTCAGAACATTCCTGAGCTTCTGCAGTCAGGAAGAAACATGTTAGTATAGCCACGTCACATACACAATATATGTACTTTGGCACCAAGACTCTCCCCTCAGCTTTCTCTCAGCCGCCACATTGAGAGTCTTGTTTGTTGCTCCTGTTCAGCTTCTGTGAGTTCATTCTTATAGGAAAGAGAAAGAGAAACTGCCACCCCCCATTCTTATAGTTCATGGCCTCTACAGGCCTATTTAAACATTGCATCATATGTAATATCAAATTTCCCTTCTCTGACAGCCATGCTAAGTGGCTTTTCTGTCTCGGAGAGGCCTACCAGACAACCTCCTGTTTGCATTGTAAAAACTTCAGATACAGTGTCCTTCATAGTCAGCTTTCCATGCTTACTCTGTCTCTGGGAGGAATCTCTCTAGCCTGGGAAAACCGTGGTGCAACCCGTCTGTAAATCAGTGTCCCAATGTCGATTTGCTAGTTCTCCAGCTTGCCTCTCTTCACGGAATCTGGCTATCACCAACCTCAGCACTATTACCGGGAGCCCATTTGCCCTGAGCAGTGCTACACCAAGGCTTCCACCTGTTACTACAAGATGGCCACCCTCCCCGGCACATCAACTCCATCGAAGCGTTCCTTTTCCCGAAAGGAACCATCAGCATTGAAGAGGAGCCATAATCATATAGCTTGACCACCACCACTCAACACCAACCATCCGCCAGCTCCAAAGAAACCTCACCAGGCTCCTACTGATTCTTTGGCCCCGACTGCTTTCTTGGCACCGACAGCATGCTGTTTTCCTCTGCAGGCACCGGACACAGGGCAATCCTTGAGCTCTGCCTCACCTATCTCTGTCCATTCTACAGTGCTCCAGTGTGGTCCATCAACGTCTTTGTTGGTCCAGGAACCCCATCAGTATCAACAACATCCAGCCCCTCAATAGCAGTCTCACTCTCATCAATATTACTTTGAGGGCCCAGTCGACTTTGATGATACCCAACTTCAGCCATCTAATATAACAGCCTTGGCATTGAGGACTTGACACCATCAATCAGCTCCAATACAGCAGTACCATATGGATCCACTCTATGAGTCAGATGTCAATCAACAGTTGGTCGACTCACCTCCAGGTCCTGAGCCCTCTGAACCAATCTTTGACCCCAAACACAATCAGTCCTCCTGTCTTCACCTGAATCTGACCTTGTGGACCCGGACCCACCATCCCCAGCTAAGGACTTTCAGACCTATGCTCAGCTTATGGTTTGTATGGTGAAGTCCTTAGAGCTGCAGATATATAGACTTACTGCAAGACCATCTGATCATTTCTACAACCCCATCTCCAAAGCCACTACTACACCACTACATATATCCATGCTGCCTTCTCTCTTAAGCACAGCAAAACACTCCTGAACGAAACTGTTTTTTTCACATACCATCTCCTGCAGGATCAACCACTTCTATAGAATCCATGATCCTAATACCTTTTTTCCCCCAAAAGGAGCCTGTCTCCAATTTAACCTTTGTGGAGTTATCTCAATCTTGCTCCAGGTATAGCATAGGCATCCTTCTGTCTCGAGAGACCATGGTAACGTGCTCTGTATCAAGCAGTGTCCTCTCCAGAGCATGAAGCCTGGGCAAAGTTATGTGGAGGATAGGCTGTTGCCCAAGCAGCAGATCCCCCCCCCTCTCCACATTGCTGAAATGGTCCAATGGAAAGGCAAGAGCCAATACAACTGGTTCCAGCAATGTCGCAGGAGTTGGCAGAATGACACGAACTGCCTTTGGGACTCCAGCTCCGGATTTTGCTCTAGGTTAACTCCTGAAGCCATTTCCATGAGTGGATCTAGTCACAGGGCAGTGGAGGCTTGAAATCAGAGTTTTCTCTCACAGAGAAAGTGCAAGAGAGTGAGCCATCCCCTCAAACAACTAGAATAGACCAGACCATAAGACAAAAGTGAGATGTAGTGACAGAACAAGAGAGAAAGCCAGAGACAGAAGCACGAGCAGGAAAGACAGAAGAATGCCGCACGATGGAGGTAGTGAAGGCTCGAGACAAAGGAACTTACTACTAAAAGATTTAAATAACGAAAAGTCATTGTTGTGGTTTTGGGAGAGTTCCCCTCCCCAATTAACAATACAAAAGTTCTGTTGAATATAATAAAGAAGACACTAATAGTTGTACAGTGGTGCCTCGCATAATGTTTGCCAGTATAATAAAGAAGACACTAATAGTTGTATTAATAAAAGTTTGTTTATTAACAATTCTGAATTGTCATTTGTATCGCCTGATGAAGAATTGCCTAAGACTGGTACAGAACCCACTTACACTGGTGTTTCTGGTGGCCATCACACTGGCAAGAAAGGCAACTAACTGAGCTAGGCACATTGAGATGCAACTCACTATTTCTACAATTCTTCAAAGACGAGGTTGTTTTGTCTACAGATGTGTATTTCTTGCCTAAGGTTGTTTCAAAATTCCAGATTTTCTTCCTGGCACCATCATTGGAGTTGCTAAAAACTCTAGATGTCTGTAGAGCGTTAGCATCCTATGTGTCCAGATATAATACATTACTTTTGTATTATCAGGATAACAAACAAGGTCAACTAGTATCTTCCCAAAGAATGTCAGCTCCCTGGTTTCTGCAATTACCCTGTCATACAAGTTAGCAAAGAATACATTGCCTGATTCCTTAAAGGGTTACTCTAATAGAGTGGTTTCTGCCTTCATGGCATTCCTAAAAGAAGTCTAGATGACTGAAGTTTGTAAGGTAACTACATGGCCCCATCCTGTGATATCAAACAGTGTAGACTGGACATCAGGGCAAAACTCAACGCATCCTTTGGCTGCATGTCAATATCTTCTGTGTTGGTGTGACATCCTATAGACCAGTAAGTGAACTTGTCATTCACCCAATAGTGTGAATCACAGGGGCCACAAAGGAGGACAGGTTACTTAACTGTAACTGTAGTTCTTTGGTCATCTTTGAATTCACATAACCCACCCAACTTCTTCTCCGTCTATTACATATATAATGGGAAAAGCGGAATCATGGTTGGGTGGAGAAGCATGCAGCATGTGTTAGAGTGGGGCTAACTGTATTTTAAGTTCTCAGTAGTGTGAATTCACAGATGAAGAACTACAGTTACAGTAAGCAACCTGTCCATTAACTCCTTATATAAAATTCAGCAGCCCAGTACTGGAGGTCACTGGCTAGTAAAGAGGAGAGAAGCCTTTAGGGTTTGGGTTCTTGTTTATTGAGTCGCCCAGTCACAAGGAGTGAAATGTATTTCCCACAGCATGCCTATCCTGCATGTTCTACAGCAGGAAAAGAGGGATTGGTGCCAACTCTTCTACTTGTGTCTCGGGGCTCTATTACATTCCCTGTGCTTTCCAGCGTTTAGCTGAAAAGTTATCTGGGATAGTGTTACCCATATGTTGGCAATCATATCAACATATCAACCTCTGTTCATCGTCTTATACAGAGGAGGCAGGAAACCTTCCAAACCATCCCTTAGGATAATAAACCAAGACTGAAGCCAGATGAGATAAACATTTTACCATCTTGTCAATGGTTTGACTAATTTGACTGTCTGTTTAAGGGATGTTCCCCCTTTTTCTGAGAGGATTGAACACCATCTGCAGGGTCAGATCAATATTTTGAGGATGCATTTGGATCTGTGATTGTAAATAGAGTCATGGAGTAATAAAACACTTTTTAATCTAGTGAGCAACTGGACTGAGTGAGCAATTTTGAGAGGCTTAGGAGTCCTATTTGCCGCCTCCATGGCTCTCAAAGGGCTGCAGCTGCCCAACAATAACTTTCATTGCCCATGGACACCCTATGTTTTTTGAATTAACAAAAGGAGAGTCCAGAATCTGCACCTGGCATTCTAAAGAGAAGATGAAGGACAGCCTCTATAAACTATGCAAATTCAGCAAATTTGCATAATTTTGTAGAGAAATAAAGGTTGTGGGTTTTTACCAAAAAACATAAATATTTTGGATAGCCCGGCCCATTTTTCTCAATGGTGCTTTTCAGTTTTGGTAATTAGTCATTCAAACAAAAGCAGAAAATCAGGAGTGTAGCATGAAAGTGTTGAAGTATAACTGAATACATTTTTGTTTTTAGGTGAGAAATTTAGAGAACTGATGGATAAATTTCTGAGGGTCCACTTCAGTAAAGGCTGCCCACCCTTGTTTACTACACTGAAATCTTTGTATTACAATACAGAAAAGGTAAATTTTGATTATTCTTATTTTTATTATTATTTTTAGCTGTGTATGTATAGAATTTGGTATCTCACAGATTATTTACTGGTAACTGTTACTTTCCTATCTGTTCACACATACAGGGCGCTACATTCAGTTGACTAAAGCAAGGGAAAACTTTCAAAATAGTAATGTAAATATGTTGTTCATTTCATTTATCTGCCATAACTACCTGAAATGCTTTATTTTTGTTTATATACATCATTGCAACTTTGTATTTTACATTGCAGTCGTACACATATATACATAGGAGTAGATCCTAGTGAGTTCAGTGGGCTTACTTCCATGTAAGTGTGCATAGGATTTCAGGCTAACCGTCTGCATGCATCTTCTATTGTACTTGAATAACTTATTTCCGATTTCCTGGCTAACATGATGTCATATGTTAAAATGTTTTCCCAAGTCTTACAGACATGTTCTCCATTGTGGGATTGCATTTCCTCCTGTCAGCCTTGCCTAGCAAGTAGAGAAGTTACAGTAGTCTGTACTACTCCTTTTAAAGGGCATTTTACCTCTCTTGTCTCTCCGTAAAATGATAGGATTGTGAAGAGGGAATGGACCCAAAGGTCATCAAGTCTAATCACCACCAAAGTGGGAAAACCACTGCCAAAGTAGTGCAAGGCATTCTACAGTTTCTTGCAGAGTTGCTTGAAGGTTATGTTGTATTTTGTTAATGTTGTCTTGGTTTTAGGTGGCCCTCCTGCTCACAAAGATATTTGTTCTCTGCAGAATTCTTTCCAGCCTTGTTAAGCACACAGGATTTTCCAGCAAGTATAATGAAACATTTGACAAGCATAGTGAAACAAAAACAAAGGCTTGTGGCACCCTTGAAACTGAAATGATGGAATTTAATGTGAGATTTTATGGATTACCCTACGTCTTTAGGCACAAATGGATTATAATCAATCAGTGTTTGTGATAAAATAAATCTGCTAGTCTTAAAAAGTGCCCCACACCTTTCATTTTGTTTTATTAGGCATGACAAAACCAACTAATGTAACTTCTTATTTAAGAAAAGAACTGTCTGAATGATAGATGCCACATTCAGGCATTACATTAAATCATGTCCTGAACAGTATTAGGTAGGAGTGCCTAGTTCCTCTCCACTTCTTTTCTCAACTTTTTCAGCACCCTGTTTGAAAAGAAGAGGGATGCTTTAAAAAAAGGATTCTTCTTTCTGTGCAGAACCTACCTGTGCAGAACCTAGCTCCTAGGGGAGGAAATCTGAAAGATTTATTTAACATTACAGTGGAAGCAGCATTGTCCAGGAACTTAAAAACATCACCAGCATCCTTCAGAACCTCAGCTTGTAACTCTTTTTCTGTCTATGGGTGGTGGGTGGGATGATTTCATTTCGAGGTGGATTAAGGAAGTCCTCAAAAAGGTTACATAGCAGAATTCTTTATGGATTCTTCTTTAAATAAACATTCATGGTCATACTAGTTATTTGATTACCAGAACCAGGGCAGCAAATACAATGGTGTACTGTGACACTTGGTTTAACAGTTGGCTTTGTGTTCTCAAGTAAAGTTGGCTAGCTTTGCTTTTGCAAGTATATGACAAAGGACAGAGAGACACTTGAAGCAAGAAGGAAGAAAACCAAATTAAAGCCAAATAAACCTTCGATTTCAGTAATTACACCAGAAGGGCATCAGTCTCAGGGAGATGCAGCTGGAATTCATCTTACAAACCCTGAGTCAAATCTGTCCCTCAGAATTAACAAGGGACAAAAGAAGAACACTACAGTAGATCCATTGGTGTCAACTGTTAGAGTTGGAAGCATGCGCATGCCAAGGGGACGTTCTTCTGTTGACGAGCTGAGTAGAGCAATCATTTGGGCTTCATACATACTTCCTCTGAATATTACAAGGTTGCAAAACATGCCTTGACTTCAGCATTTTTTGGGCCAAGAATTTTGTAAAAGAAAAAGCAAGCAGGCAAGCAAGCCTAAACCAAACTGGTTGTCAACTAGAAGGAAGTTGACCCACAGTGTACTTATCATCGATATATCCAAAGATGAAGAATGCTGTCTGTGAAACGCAGGAGAACAGGGAAATTTCTCAACTGTAAATGTGTGTTTTCTGAGTCACATGGAGGGCATTATGTCCTTCTCTGCTTCCTGAGTCAGTATGATTGTGGGGAATTATTTGTGTAAAAAGAGAGTAGTTAGATCCTGTCATGGGTATATTTGTGGCTATTAGTAAACAAATTTGTTTACTAATGATTGCACTGTTGAATTAGCTGGAATACAGTATACTATGCTGGATGTTTTTCTTTTTAATTAGTACTTTAGTTTCAATCAGAAACCAGGGCATTTTACTACACTAGAAGTCAGGTTTTCTTGCAGAAGCCGTATAAAACTGAACCTGAGAAATAAATGTTTTACAACACTGTCACCCAGAAGACAACAGTAATCTGATACCTGCCCATCTACAGAAATAATGATTGTTTGCTAAGATATTTAGGTAAAATATGTAGTATATTCTTTGGAAGCCAGGGAGTCATAAAATCCTGGAAGAATTAGTGTTTACAAGAGAATAAATAATTACAGTATTTCCCCATGAACAAGTCTGTGTTTATACAAGTTTCCAAATTATTTTGCTATGATCTGGTTGGTTTGGGGACAATAGAGCCAACAGAATCGAACCTTTCTTGCTCCTTCTCAAAACATCCCCTCCATTTCCCTCTTCAGTGCATTTCAGAGGGTTGGAGGACCTGCAGAATATAATAGCCTGTGATACAGGGGGGCCATTGTGGAAGAGGTTGCTCAAAGCTAGTTCCTCTACTAGACTGGGAGGAGGGTTACTTTCAGTTACTTTCACCATAATGTGATATGTCTTGAGGAAGATTTTTTTTTCAAGCAGACACATCTCTTTAGACAATAGTTCGTCAATGCCTTGAAATAATTTGAATGGAGAAAACAAAATGAGCATGCGAGCTGGGAACTGGCAGACAAATTTTGTGTTTTTTCATTATAAAGGAAGGAGACCTAAAATTTAGGCTTGGTGCCTGTTTTTGTAAAAAATTATTCTAGCAATTTTCAGCTGAGCTCTTGTTTCCAGATATTCAAAACTCCAGCTGTACTCGTGAAAACAACATTTGTTTTCTCTTATAACTTACAAGTCATAAATGAATAATGTGTGATTCTGACTTTCATTACAATACTAAGTATATATTGATGTATGCAAAGTGGTTGACCTCTGGACCAAATTTGGTGAGTGTTATCACTTTTACCCCAGTTATGCTGAGTTGTGGTTGAATCGCGAACCATGTTGTGGTTCATTAATTCTGACTCTGGATAAGCCAGTGACTTTAGGCGGAGACGTTGAACAGGATACCTGTGGAGTAGAGATGGAGGTATTTGTATATGAATATCCCTGCACAGGTGGTGTTAACGAGGGTCCAGCCCTATGGGGCCGGATGGTCCACTCACTTATCTGCCACAGAAGCGGATGGCGCGATTCTACCAATGGTGACACAGTGTATGATCTGCTCGCCACTCTTCGACTTTGTGGTGAGCTTGCCCTCCTACCAGCAGAGCCATTTGTGGAATCACGCTGGCCATGTCCGTGGCAGATTGGTGAGTGGACCGTCCGGCCCCATGGGGCTGGACCCTCATTAACCCCACCTGTGAGGTAAACTAATACGAATACCCCCATCTTTACTGTGGAGCCTTGGAGAACCAAATACCTTCCAAACTTCATCTGACATGGCCCAGCAGCACCACTGTATCCAAGATGAAGAATGCGGTAGGTGGAACTTTGAAAATTTGCATTGCAGGGTGCAGCATTTGATTGCTTAATAAACAAACAATTTTAGTTCATGTGTAAAATAAATTGGGAAAGGAGTGAAGGAAAGAGAAGATTATTAACTGAATAATCTGGGGAACTGGTTTGGATGTAATACATCATCATTGTTTAGTACATTCAAAGTCAAAACAGTTATATCTACTTTCTGAGTGCCTTTTCCCCAGAACATCTACCTGTGCCACCAGAAGTTTGCAGGAAATGCTCCTATAGGTTGCCATACTGAGGGAGATCAGAAAGACATCCACCAGAAATCATGCCTTCGTGGTGGTGGCACTACGTCTCAGAAATGGGCTCCCAGTTGAGCTGTACCTGGCCCTCACCCTCTGTATCTTCAAGATGTTGCTTAAAACTATACTTTTCAGAGAAACTTTTACTAGCAACCTCTAATGGATCTATCAAATCTGTTCTGCTGTTTGACCATCCCTGCTGCTTTATTGATTCTGCTGTTCTTATTTTTAATTATTATATATACTTTTATTATTACTTCCCTTACTGTTTTATGAATGTATTTGCTTTATTATAGTCGTCCATCCAGACTAGTGCTTCATGCTAATCATGTGGTACAAAAGTGGAATGAATGAATGATCAAACAAACAAATATGAAGTAGTTGGTTGGGGGCTGAGTTAATCTTGAGTGATGAATGCTTAAGACGGGAATGCTGAGACTTGCGACGGAAGTAGAAATGCTATGAGTAGATGGAATGATAATAATAATAATAACAGTAATACAAAAGGACTTTTTCAGCAGGAGTAGTGAAACATTTGGGTGGCTTGACAGAAATCTTTTAATTATTTCAAAGCAAAGAATAGGCAGCAAATTTGTCATGTTTTCATTTGATCCTGTTCTAGGTTCATGAGATACCATTTTACATAACTAGAAGTAAGCAAAGTTTAGGGAAATCTCCTCTTCCATCTCCTAGAGGAAGTGAGGAGATGTTTTGAACAGTTCTTTAAACACTTAAATGGGGTGGTGAGTGTACGGCTCTGGGGTTGCAGAGGGTGTAGTTGGGTTGAGGGAGGGCTGCAGGCCACTCTTTTCCAAACCTTTATGTACATGATAAAAGATTCAAAGACAGAACTATAAGTGATGATTAGTGATCTCATTGAAACTGATTATATATATAGCAGTGAATTTCCTGCTCTTGCAAGGAGCTCATT